GCTTTTAAAAATTCCTAAGACTACTTTCCAGAATGTGATGAGTTAATTAGCACGTGCCTAGTTAAAAATTTCTTGCAGAAGATGATATTTTAACCAAGCCATTTTGAAAATCAAAAGTAAACCCAAATCTTTACGTCAGCTATTAGCAGGAAATCAGAAAAACAGAAGCAGAGGCATATTCAAATTTGTATTTTATATACATATAACAAGAAACTCATTTGTATCTTTATCAGCTAACGCTTTACATAACCTATATTAACAACAAATTCAAAGTGCAATCTCCTGCTGAGTTGGAGAGCAACAAAAGAAGCCCAAATATAAACATGGAACTGGTTGTGGCAGACAGAAGACCCTTGAGCCTGAATGCATTTAATAGCAAACAGCACAGACCTTGCACTTGGATATTTGCTGGTCTGCATACTGAAACTGAAGTGCTGGTATACACACTACTTACCATGCTTCTCTGATGGAGATGGACTGCACACAACGATTATTACACACAAAGGACTTATAATATAAACATAGCCAACAGATTCTATAGGACAACTATATCCTATGTGAATACTGGAGGAAATGATAGGCAATTGAGCTTTAGCAAAATACAGCAAATGGCAATAGCGCATAAGCTTAAAATGTCATCTGTGAGAAGTCAGGCATACAACCTATCCAGTTACCTTAAGAAAGTGTGCTCATACTATTTTGGATACAAACCACAGCTTTCCTGTTTGTACTATTTCAGCAAAACATTAAGTTGCCTTTCCACAAAGTTTTTTCTCCTTCTGCTTTATCAAAAAGGAAAAACTGAACTGATGACACCTGAAGATCAATAATCATGCAGTAGCTTTTCCCCAGCTGACTGCTTTCATTCCTCAATATTTTACCAAGAACTCACATCCCTGAAAAAAGGATGGGCAGTAGAAAGAAGACAAAGGCACAGTGGTAACAGCCAGGAGACTTCTGGGAATTCATGTGTCACACTTCAGCACAGAAACAGAGAGATAAAGGAACTGTATCCTGCGCAAGTATGCAGGTAGCTGGAGAGAGTGTGAACATCTACCATGTCAATAAGAAGAGAAATGGAGGCACAGCAGAAAATTTTTACATGACAAATGGTATTTGTCTCTGATTCCTTGATGTTTAAGAACAACATGTTGGGGTTTCCTAAGGCATGAAGGCAAATTTCATGCAACAGGGTAAGAAAGAAAAAAGTCACGTACTGGTCAAGAAGTTAAAGACAAATTTAAGTAGCCTGTTATTAAAATTCAGGAATAAATTTAAAAGATTTTAATTCTTATTTTTGACATCCTATCTTTCTCAAAATACACATGCTAATCCACTTAAGATGTATGTTCATTCTCTCTGAAACTATTTCCTCCTTGAGATTTTATCTCAGTAAAAATACACTCATTGGCTGAAAGAGCAAAAGATTAAGCAACACTAAGTTGGGGAGGGAGGAGAACACCCAAGCCTGTTTACTAAGCTGCAAATAGATGTCACTAAAATGAAAACTAAGTAGGGCTACTAATAAAAAAAAAAAAAAAAAGTCAAAACAGTTTGCTTTACTGGCTGCTGATTCAGGGAGAAGAGTGCTCAGCCAGGCAAATTCTTCTCATGTTACTATTAACCAAATAACTGCATGCAGATATACACAAATATTTGAGTAGCCAATAAAAAGCACTTGAGAAAAAAAACTGAAGCAGCTTAAAAAGAAAATACAAGTACATGAGTAGGAGAAAGACCGCGTTTAGAATTAACTAAACACTTTGTTTTCAGAGGAATTATTTCTTGCTCTTCCCATCCTTAAATTCAGAGGTGGCCCACGAATATAAAACTGGGGATGTAAGTGTAGCACAAACTGCTTGTTCCACACAAAGCTAAACAGATGAGAAAACAACACAGTACTTTTTTAAGAGCTAGAGTGACCAGCAAGGACACAGCGAGGAGTTTTAGAGAACTCCTTTAGGCTAAGTGTACTGAAGATTAAAATCAGATTCCACCACTTTCAAGTAGAAAAAAGTTTTCCCAAGGCAACAAACACTAGTAGAGGACATGACTGTAAGAAACACACAGTTCCAGGATTAATAGACACACAAAAACACAACCAAAATACCCACAACCTTTGGGCATAAACAGTATTTCAGTAACAGGAACATTAATATAAACATACATGTCTCCAAATCTGACGTACAAATAAAAGAAATGAGAGCAAAAGTTTTTAGCCCAGAACATCATATTGAACCTGCTTCCTTCCTGTCCGTGAGATTAGTTCCTCTCATCTACAGAAAAAAAGCTAAAATGTTCACACATTAATGTATAAATAATAGAGCACTCCTCCTAGTAATGAGCTAAGAAACCCAACAATTCCAAACTACAGTAGATCTCTAAACTTCAAAAGAGGTTAAACCATTGGTTATGCTGCAGTGAATCACAAATGTTCCTCTGCTAAGCAAAAAGCAGAACCAAATTTGAAGGCAATAAAAGTTGCTGTACTTATTTTTCTTCTGCATGACACAGTGAAAACATCAGCTTGATTTCTTGGAAATCATGGGATGGAAGAGCCTAGTTACCAGCCTATAAACAAAAATCAGTTCTGGTATGAAAATAAAATTACTATTGTGAAAAAGAAAAAAAGACCCCAACACATCTTTCAGGAAACGGAAGAAGCTTTGCTTGACCCAAACCAATGGATGTTTTTCTTTGCTACAAATACAAATCTTTGCTCTATTTACCAATTCAGAACATCATTGCTGCTTTCTCCCTTTCACCTCCGTGGCTGCTTCCAAGTCTCTTCACTTTTGCCTAGACACAGAAAGGAACAAGCACATACCAGACTGTGGAAACTAGTCTGTTTACTATCTTGTCATACATTAAGAAAAGCTAGCACATAGATGAAAACACCTTCATATTTAAGACTGTCAGGGATTGGATCAGGCTATAAAAGAAGACTGCATAATCACTTTCCTTGGAAGTTTTTGTGATATGACAGCACAAAGCCCTTGGCAAGTGCATCTAAATTCAGTGTTTTGTCTGTTTTCTGCTGGAATTTGTACCAGATGACTCCTATCTGAATTATTCTACGAATTTGCAGCCCTTAGCTCCTTCTGAAATCCCCTTCATGCATCGCCAGAACAACATAGCAGCAGTTGTGCTGACTGAAGTTTCTGTATGACAATCACCTGTACTTGTGGAATTTCATTTTTCTTCTACCTCACCTACTAATTTTTTCTTAAATCTCCTAAGTTCTTTGGAGTTTCTTTTTACTCTGCATTTGCAGGTCTAGTTCTTGGAGTCCGGATTTGAGGCTAAGACTTCCAGAAAATACAGTAATAGAAATAAGAACAAAACTGCAGTATAGGAAAAAAGATGATAGAATATCATACTCAATTTTAAGAACTATTTAAGTATTCAGATACAGGGAAGCGACAACACAAAGCTTATATTTGTAGAAGTTGGGAAAAACTGACAGAAAGACATAAACCTAATGCAATTGGCAAAATAGACAGGGCAAATTTATAGTATGGATATTGTCCCCCTACTTTTGTAACATACCCACGAATGAATTTGGATTGGAGAACACAGAAGATAAAGAACACCCAAACATTTAATTCATTTAAAAGACCAACAAGATTTATAGTGTTGAGAGGAAGGAAAGAAATAACTTCAAATCAGCAGCACCCAACAGATAACGTATTTGACAAAAGAAAAGAACATCAGATCTCAGTAGAAAAAAAAAGGAATAATATTTTTGTTGAAATTAATAGCTATACAGATATAATCTTATACAAGAGTTTTTCCTTGCCAACACATAACTCACCTACTATCTTTCAAAACAACTTGAGCCGTACCTTTAAACTGGCATGCCAAGATAGAAAAAACAATCAGTGCAGTCTGCATCACTTTACATCTACCTAGTTCTTAGTGGGAAAATGTTCTTTTTATTATTTTTCTCCTGAGACAAAAGACTGTTTGTAGTTCTATAGGTAGACTGGGACAGTGGTCTGTTGTGGTAACAAAGAACACCACGGAGCTGGAGGAGGAGCTGGGAGAGGCAGAGATCTGGCGCAAAAATAAATGATTTCATTGGCAGGTACATCAAAGAAGTTTAAGTTCAAAGCAGTGTAGTTTAACAAAACTAACAAAATACCCTGTGTGACCAAAAAACCTTTTTACTTCCTGTTCAGAAAAACAAAACAGAGAATAAAGAACTACATTTCAGAGCAGATGAATTCACTGCACTGGATTTTTCATCACAATTAATAACCAGGTACAGACTCTAAGCCCATCACTAGCTGATAAATAAATCAGAGTATGCGATGAAGGCATCCAATCCTTGTGCTTGGTAGTGAGAATCTAAATACCTGTAACTGAGGTTTAGCAGATATTTCCTTACTGCTTTATGAAAAGAGTAAAAAATCAGTGAAGAATTAACAAAGTCCTAGAAGAAAGTCCAGTGAAGAACTAAGCAATTAAAAGAGAAGTCAGTCCATGGCTGCAAGAAACCCCTTCACAATGCAAGTGAAGTAAAAAAGCCAGCTCTAGAGCAGTTGCAACATCCAGATCAAAAACATATTAGTAGATGGCAAGGTCCTTTTACTATACAACTTGCAAAGCAAAGTTGTTCTATTATTAAAGAAAGGACAAAAAATAAATGATGAAACGTCACCAAAAAATTCATAAAAACACACACAGACATCAGTACTAACAAGACTCCTAAAACTTGTATTGAGTTGGACTACCTTAACGGAATGACAACAGCAGTTTTCCCTCCATAAATGTATGAACTACCAATTGCAATTCTTACATGAATAATATAGATTGAGGAAAAAACGAACAGATAAGGACTACAGGAAAGAAACAAGCATACATAACATTTGAAGTTTTGCACTAAAACAAGGTAAGGATAAACACTTATGCATTTGATAATGGGGGAGTGGAAAGTTGTTTTCTCACGTCAGGCTGCATCACTCATCTTCCCCCCTTCCGTTTGTTAGGGCACTTACCAGGTCACCTCGAGGTGCTTCCTGATAATCTACAGAAAAGCAGGACATTGAACTTCTTGTGCTGCTGCTCTCACTGGCTTGCCGAGGAGGCTGTGCATATTGCCTGTACGTAGCACTCTTTGGGGTCCAGCGAAACAGGTTGATTGACTCACGAACACAACGCTCAATGTCAATCTCTGGTCATGGAAAAAAAAAAAAAAAAAGAAATGATAAAAAATATATTGGTAAAACCAAGTAATCCAGCTATGATATTGCTAGGGAAATACATAGGTATCCATCTATTGTGCTGTCTCTCTCCTTTAAAAAGCACAATTTTCAAAAACACCTCACCATTCAAATACTCAGCAACTTTTATGAAAAACTAGCAAAGACATTTCAAGCTTTAGTTTTATGCCCAAGTTATGCATGATAACACTGCAAGCTGTTTAAGAGAAGTGTAACACAACTATTAACAATACAGTGGAAGAATATAATTGAAACACAGCCATTGTAATGCATCTTCACTAAATTCCTTTGCAAAGCAGGCTAATGATTCAAATATAAATGCATGCAGCACATCCAAGGTATATTTCATGCAGCATACTGAAATTAGGATTTTTGGATCAACATTGTGCCATTTGTCAGATATACCTGTTACAAGGCTGACAACTTTGCTGTGAAAGCATTCAGTGTTGCTGAACCTTGTGTAGCCTGCCATTTTGACAAAGTCATATGCTATCAGTTGGGTGGAAAAAAGGGAATCATAACATTACTTTGTGCTTGATGTGTACAGTGCTGCACAGTATATTTCCTTAGAGCTGTGCAGTTGAAAACCCAACTGCAACTTAGAGTGGAATACTCTGAGCCAAAGGAGCAAAGTGTAATACATGACAAAATATTACTCAACTTGGGAGGAAAGCAGATAATCATTAAAGGTGAAGCATCCTAAAAATAAGCTGCAGTCAAAGAAAAATTAAGGAAACATATTGAAAAAAAAAAAAAAAGAAAAAAAAAAAAAAGGAGAACCTACAATAAACACAACCTTTGCAGCAACAAACATAACAAAGATCCTTCATAAATCTTCTAACAAAGAGTAAAGAAAACCATTTACTTTTCTATCACTTTAAGAAGACCAGTTAGCTCATCCATACTCAGGCAGGATACTGACCTTTAGTGTATGCTTTACTCCTACTGAAGGCAATACATTTGTGTTAAAAAAAAAAAAAAGTACAACAAAATTTTTCTTAAAAATATCAGGTTTCCTACCTACTTGGATAATGCCAGAGAGAACAGTGTGCATCTCCAGAGTAATGAACAACTCTTTCATTCTGTGATGAAATCCTACTACATTTTTCATTTTCAACACACTGTAATAGAACTTTGATATTTAGTATTTTTCCCCAAAGAAAATCCTGACAACTGGAAAACTACCAAGCGATTTTGACATTCAGTAAGAACAGCAGGGACCTTTCACTGGTTATTTCTTCCAGAGTTCAGAATACTAATTACAGTCACACTTTCTCTACGTTACTCTGAAAATGACTTGTAAAAACACGATCATTTTAAGACTGTTCTTGCTTATCTGTTTTACTCTGGAGCGAGTTACAGCAGTGTCCCTATTTTTGCAATAAGTGAGCTGAATGCAGAATTCAGATATTTAAAAAAAAGTATGAACAATAATTACTAGCATGAGCAGCTTTCAGCTGTGAAAAGACATAATGGCCCACAAATACCTGAAATTGAAAGCAAAGAACTGGGGGGAATGGAATAGGAAATTCACATGCAGTAGAAAGTTAAGAAAAAGATAAAGGCAGGAATTGAGATTGACAGAGTTCAGCACTGGCACAGACTACCAAAATACTTTTCCTAGAAACAAGTTCTAGAATTCCAGAAGGAATCCACGATGATAAATGAAAACTCAGCAACAGATTCTCATTATTTAAAAAAAATAAATAAATAGAAAATATCTGCCCAACTTCAAGGTGTGAATCAAAAAATTCCCGAGTCTGCTGTTCCGTGATTCCTGGCTGCGTGACTTCTAATTTCCTCCAAGCAGCAATTCAGGTGGTCAGTGGCTACGCCTAAAAATAAAACCCCATGGAACAACAGGGAATTTTAAATGGTTTGTGAGGTCATCCAAAACCTAACAGCAATTTGAAGTCTGCCAGCAAATTAATAGCTTTCCAAGTAACAACAACAAGAAAAACCAACCAGCAAACAAACAAAAAAAACAAGGAGACTGCAGTTTCCACAGAGAACAAAATATTTGTGTACGCATACAGATATAAGTGTGCATGCAAATATAGGAAGATCAACATCTAGCACTCAACAAGGCAAAAAAGACCATCAGTAGCAAAAGCATTTACTCATTTTTCTTTTTTAAAAACTGATTACTTTCAGGACAATGGAACTTAGGAAAATTTTAAAGTGGTGTAAATAATTTACAGAATATTTAATTAGTCCCAGCACACGAACTAACTTCACACTTGAGTAACCTCCAAGACTTCAACCTTTCTTTGAAATTTTGGTTTAAGAAAGATCACTTCCCATCAGTAAAGAAAATACAGTGCAGTCTCCTACAGCCTTACTGAATAAGGTCTTTTCCCTTACCTTTTGCTAATAAGGGTCTACAGCATTACTTCAATTTTGATTTCTTCCCATGCCCTTACAAACATTTGGAAAATGATTCAGTCCATTAAATGTCCTTTCTTATTATTTCTATTTTCACACCAAGGATTTGCATTTGCATAGCATTAACCTTTCTTGCACTTTTCCTGTTCTCAAGCATTACTCTGTTACCAGTGAGAAGCTTACAAATTATTAAACACGCTGCCGGTAAGTCAGATGTGTAAATATATGAAGTCAATACATAGACTCTTGATCAGGACTGTGAACAAATGAACAGAGAGTACTTCACCAGGATGCCAGACTACTTGTCATACGCAAACAATTTAGAAGAACATCCTTTTGAGAGAAGGCTCTGAATAAATCTCAAAGTGGCAGAACAAAGTGAGCAAAAATATCTAGAAAGAATGGGGAGGGCCTCCTCACAAAGATAAACACACAGCAGCTCTGTGCTCTCTTAAGGTCCCAGCAGTGGTTTGTTTTGTAGTTTAAGCAGCATGTGCCTTCCATTTCTACTCTGCAAGTTACTCTGCTGGAAAATCTATAATCAAAATGTGCTGACATAACATTAAGCCATTAACCGTGAAATACGCACTGAAAAAAAATTTAAGTACAAGCTTAAAAACATAATCTAAATACTATAAAAATAAGTTCTCATCTCAACTTTATGTACATCTCAAAGCAGCCTGTTTTTCATAAAGTACAAAGCACCTGCACTTCAAAAAGTCAAAACTGGTACCCAAGTATTTAGAAACTAAAACCAGTAAGTTTCATTTCAAAACACCAGTCCTGGATGTCCTAGATCAACTGAGCAGACAAGTAGCAATCAATCTTAGAGGAAACACTCCCATGGTACCAGCCAGCTACTCTACTGCTTGGCATCAAAAGCCTTTTCCATCCTTATTTTTTAAACGTGCAAAGCCCATGGGAATTGGAAGAGGTGTGTGGGTAGGGGGAAATAATCTAACATTAATATCCTAGGTTTGTTACTCTTAAGCTATTGAAATGCCTTAGTTTGCTGAGCTAAACTTTATTGTTGCCTTAAGATACTACCCATTTTACTCCGTTCATTCTAAAATACTGCACTATATAAGAAGTCTGTCTTCCTCTGTCAACAACCTCAACTGAAATGGCTGGCTCACCTCATTTAGTTCTATTTAGTATTTGTTATTATAGATTGAGCAGAGAAGTAGACAGCTCTTGAAATACATATTTTAAAGCATCAGTTAAAGAGCACCTGTGATAGCAGCACACACAGAACTTTATTTTTACAGCAGAATGGCGTGCAAATTTTCAACCCACCAAGTGAAAGTAATGAATGGGAAAAAATGATACATGAAAGGCTTGCTCTTAAGAAAAATGTATACAGACCAAATTTTTGTGTGTAATTAATGAATTCCAGAGGCCTTTCCTTGGGTAACAAGACATGAGTTAAGACTGCTCCTGGATGCAGCCCAGAAGTATGGGCTTGGTCTGACCTCTCCATCACAGATACTTTATTACTACTCTGCCAAGCAACATCAGCTTTCCACACATAGCCACATAAATAAATAGGAAAGTAGACTCTGTGCAGTATAAGCAGGGAAGCCGAACAGGGCAGTCAGTTTGATCTCATGATTCCTGTGCTCAGAAGAATAGGGGTGGAAAGGCCATAAACCTGTTTTTTGTTTTTTTTTTTTCCCCCAACACATAATATCCCCAACACATAAAAAGATACACTAAGCCTAGATAATTAAAAGGATACATCTAGTAAAAGAATTGACATTTCCATCCAATATCTATCCATTACTGCTAAAAGGTCAATAAATTGAAAGGTCAAAGCAGAATTATTCTTTTCATAAGATTTATTTCATACACTACAGGATAATTGTGCTGTTTCACTGTTTTGTGGCCTGTCATTTACTCCTACATCAGCATGCTTTTCAATGCATCCTGAGAAAGCAATTTCAAAGGCAACATAAACATCACTCATTTATATTAAAAAATTGTCAGCTAATGAATTAGAATGCTCTGCTTTTCTTTATACACGTATGCAAGGTGTGCATATTTCAGAGCAGTGCTGTCAATCAAGGGACCACCACATTTCTTTACGTAGCAGAGCAGGTTTACAGAGGTTGCACTCAGCTAGAGAAACGGTTGGATGCAGAAGCCGAGGCAAAAACCATAGCACTTTTTCTTCAGATTATATTTTGCAGGGCTGTAATTAGGCTCAATCATTTCAATGCTGCATTGACAGGTTACCTTGCCTGGGAATACATTACTCTGTAATTTCTTTCTGTACCTTGAAATAAAAAAAAAAAAAAAGATCTCAAAATGCTACATCCTACTCCATACTGGAAAGGAAGAATGAAACGGAATACATAAAGTCTGTAATACAGCTTGGACTAGTTTGGTTCATTGTTATGCTCCAACAGAAAATTGTTTTAAAGAATTATATGAAGTGTGCCAGAGCACACGGCAAAAGTTTCTACAATCCAACAAGATGTACAAGACATCTGAACCAGCCATAACATAACTTCAGGATACTGGCTAGTGACAGAAATGGCTAAAATCAACACTGTAAAATGGAAAT